GGCCCGAGTCTGATGCTGCTTCCTTTTTGATGGGGCAGTGAGACCATGCCACACACATCTGACTTCAGACACGCTTACAGACACAGCTGGAATGAAGGCTGGTGGTTTCAGGGCATGGGCAAGGTTCCTGACTGACAGACTCGTGACTTCCTTTCGGCTACAGGATTCCTCAACTTTTCTGGGATGCACAGGGCTTCACGTAGGGGAGGGCATGAAGAAATAGAGCCTTCATGATTCCTCAGATACAAAATCACCAGCTCTGAAATGTCCTATCCACAGTCACAGTAGGGGCGTCTGGGAGATGATCAACATTTCTCTTTGAAAAAATTAATTAACTTATTTTGTGTATTAGTGTGAACATGCCATACACATATTTGGAGGTCAGTGGACAACCTGTGGGAGTCTGTTCACTCTTTATCATGCATGTCTCAAGTATCGAACTTAGGTCATAAGGCCTGGTGACAGCACACCTTTACCCACTGAGATATCTCACGGGCCCTTGACATTTCCTTTCTTGGCATGGGTAGTAGGTAGTTAACCAAGTATTTGCTTGGGAGCCAGGGCTCCCAAGTTATAGTTCATTAGCTGCATATTTGCATTCTGGGTACTTTTCTCAATGTGTGTTGTATTTTACAATGTAAAAACACAAAAAAGAAAGCACGAAACCAGAAGAAAAAGGGATGGGCATTCTTTCCTGACTCCAAGCCCTCGGTCCAGTCAATCACATTGAAAGAGCGTGCCACAAGCACCTGTGTCCGCTGGAGTGCTGAGGGCCCACAGGCCCAGGTCTGAATTGTCATTTTGATGATGAGCCCAGAGGCCCAAGAGGCAGTGTGACTCACCCTGGGTCTGAAAGTAAGGGTGGGACTTAGACGAGCTGGACATTTTACTTGAGGGGACGGTGTGAGCAGTGTGCTGAGCAGAACTGGGCTCCTGTGCTTGGGGCCTGAAGTAATAAGGATGCCCTGCTTCTGAATCCAGGGTAGATTCTGGGAGGTATATCTGTCTGGCTGAGAGGCCCTGACTCGCTGTCACAGCCCCAAATGTCAGCAGGACAAATGCCACTTTCAGGAAGTAGAATAGAGGACTCTGGGCCTTAGTGCCAAAGCAGACATGAGATTTTTCTCAGTTTGGTTTGTTGTTTTGCTTAAACCACAGGCCCATGTGAGCTCACAATTTCTATCCCAGACAGGCAGGAAGTTAATCTGCACCCCAGTTCCTGCAGACACATGGCACGGACACCCGAGTTCCTGTAGACACCTTTGCTCTAGCCCTGAATTTCAGCCCACCCCACCCTGCTGCTACTCCTAAGGCCAGCATTAATGAACACAGTGGAAGCTGGTACACAGGAAGGCCACAAGAACTGTGCACTGCAGCACCTGGTAGGGGGCTTGTGATGGCCTATGAACTGATCACTCCCACTCCCAGCCTGAGACCTTGGAATTCAGAACTTTACCCACCATCACCAAGGGAGGGTGTGTCTGTGTCTGGACTACGAATGAGGGCGCTGTGAAATGTTCAAGGAGTTCCTGAATCCAGCCAGGGCTGCTAAGCTTAAAAAAGAGGTTAATGATTGAAAGCCAATTCAGATCTACCTCATTTATGCCCAAAGAGGGACTGTGACGAGTGACTCCCAAATCCAAGAAGCGGTCATGGCAACAGCATACAGATGGCAATCACCATCCAGGAAGACTGACTCCACCCACCACTGTTCCCAATCTTCCCCTCTTTCATTTAGGGAGGCTGTTCTATTCCCACTATAGCCATGATGAAACAGGGTTGGGAGGGGGCCTGAGCAGCTTCAGAGAAATCACATGCGTGGCCAGTGCAGAGCTGGGCATTCAGGCAGCTCCACTGTGGAGTCTGCACCGTAGAAGCTGGCACTGTCCGGGCACAGAGATGTACCTCTATCGTGAAAAGGAGCCCCATCTGGTGAATTCTGATTGGACTGCTTCCTCGTTAAACTGCCTTCAGATTTGGCTCCATAGTCAACAGGCCTTCAAGAAAAGAGACCATGACCCACCAATGTGGCTGCTGTATTTTCATTAGTAAATTAATAAACCAGCTGCCCAGCTCTATACACATGTCTGTTAAGGGGAGCCCATCTCAGAGTGGGGCCCACTCTGTAGCAACTTAATTGAGATTCTGAGTGTGCAAGGTAAGCGCCAGCTATGGCCCTGTGCCAAGGAGCCCGCTCTTGGACTCTTCTTGGCAGAACTGGCCAGGCTTCCTAAGGGGTGGCCTAGCTGTGAATCTGAGCTGCTTGGTCAGATGTCCTGGGTCATCTGTACAGAAGGGTATGACAGTGCCAGGGTCCAGTGCGTGTTCCAAGTTCCACATTCTGTATCAGACTCCAGGCGCCAGACCAAAGGCGGCTCCTGGCAGGCAACTGGTAAGGTCTCGCCTGGTGTGTTTGTTCCTCCGCACACATGCCCGGGGTGTCCTACATCTCGAACTCCTTTGCCTTTCATCCATACTGACTCCAAAAGCTGGTGACTAGCAGGGTCATTTGGGGAGCCTTTTAAAACCGATTTAATCAACATGTCTCCTGTAGGATTAGAGAATGTTTTGCACCATTGACAAAGCAAAACAAAACAACCCTTAGTTTTCAAAAGTATACCTCAAAATCACATGAGACAAGTTCAATAATCTTCCTTTTGGATGAAAGTTATTTTAGATAGGAACTTGCTATGTAGCTCTGGCTGGCCTGGAACTTACTACTAGACCAAGCTAGCCTCAGGGTCACAGAGCTCCGCCTGCCTCTGGATCCCAAGTGCTGGGTTGGAGGCATGTGCCACCATGCCCAGCCTTCTCAAAAATTTAAAATTACATGAATATCAGGGCACGAGTGTAGAGGTCAAAGGACAACTAACTAGAATTGATTCTTTTCTTCTACTGAGTGGGTCCTAGGGACCACACCCAGGTTTTCAGGCTTGGTGGTAAGTACCATTACCCACTGGGCCATCTCACCAGTCCTGATTATGCCTTTGTTATCTTTCTAATTCAATTATCCTTTAGTTCCAAAATTTATTTAGTTCCTTGTACATTTTCTCTCTTGAATAGTCTCATTTTGTTCAGACATTTTCCTGAGGTTGATGAGATTTTTTTGAATTTTTTTTTAAATTAATTTATTAGACAATTTTTTGTTGTTGTTGGTTTTTTTTTGTTTTGTTTTTGAGACAGGGTTTCTCTGTGTAGCTTTGGAGCCTGTCCTGTCACTCGCTCTGGAGACCAGGCTGGCCTCAAACTCACAGAGATCCGCCTGCCTCTGTCTCCCGAGTGCTGGGATTAAAGGCGTGCGCCACCAATGCCCGGCCTATTCTTAGACAATCTCATTTGTGTGTATAATCCATTCTGGTCACACAGATCCCTCCGCCATCCCTTCTCCTCCTCCCACAATCCCCCTTTCCATGCTTCCTCTCTTCCCACCAAATCTCCACCATGCTTTGTCTTTTTGTTTTGTTTTTTGCTGTTACCCACTGGGTTTAACCAGGTCACTCAAGTGGACATGGGCATGGAGCAATGGTACATTAGTGACTGATGGATGTCTATGTTACTGAAGAAAATGACTTTCTCCCCTCCAGCAACTCAAGACTGCCATTAGCTTTCCTGGGTGGGGCAGGAACCCCACTAACCCCTCATCCATCTATGACTGAAGGTTTATGGGTTCAGTCTTTTGTGGGTCCTATGCAGGCAACCACAGCTGCTGTAAGCTCATGACTGTCATGCCATGTCATGCCCATAGTACAGCATCTTATAGCCCTAGTAGGGATGGTGTCTTTGTTTTCTTCTGTTTTTATTTTTTTGTTTGTTTGTTTTATTTCCATGGCACTAGAACCCATGTTAGGCAAATGCTCTACCACTGAGTCATAGCCCCAGTCTGAGGATTTTCTCCTCCTCCTCCTCTTCTTTACAATTACTACTGGAGGACGTTGTGTGTGTGTGTGTGTGTGTGTGTGTGTGTGTGTGTGTGTGTGATGAGTTTTTGAGCGTGGATGTACACATACTGTGGTATGTTCATGGAGGTCAGAGGCATAGAGTTGGGTCTGTGCTTCTGACTTTACTTGGGGCCTAGGGACCAAACACAGATCATCCGGGGCTGTTTGGCAGGCACTCTAGTCCAACACTCTTTTTCAGATCCCATTCCCAGATGATACTGGCAGAGGTTTTGATGACAGCAGGTGTAGGATGAGCAATAGATTTGGAATGAGTCTTTCAAAGATGGATTCCTTAAAGGTCCTCCATGCAATCCAAATATCTCCACAAGCTTGGAAACCATTCTTGGTGAAAGAATGGTTTCATTCTTGCCTTCGGCCTCTTCAGCCCCATGCCTCTCCCCAGAGTGACTTCATCTGCCTCGCCATACTCCAATTCTTCATTAGAGGTTTTGTGAAGCCTCCTGACTCTGAGAAGTCTTCCTGGATTGAACCCTGCCTTACCAGGTTCTCAGCTTCTCCTCAGTCCTCCCCACCCTATAATGTGTCTGTTTTTTTTTTTTTTTAACTTTTAAAAAAAAATTGTGTATGGGTGTTTTGTTTGCATATGTTGTATGTCTGTATAGCACATATGTACAGTACCTGAAGAGGCCATAAGGTGGCAGATACCCTAGGACCTGAGTTACAGGTAGTTGTGAGCTACCATGTGAATGCTGGGAATTGAACTCAGGTCTTAATGACTGGGCCATCTCTCTAGCTCCATGTGGAGACATTCTTTATGTTTATGTATTGATTTGGTATTTCTACTCCAATGACTTCTTATCTGAGTCTTAGGTCATCACTGCCTAGAGAATTCCTGGCCCCAACTTCCAGCTATTGGGTGATAATGAGCGGAAGAGGAATGGAATGGAGGCTGAAGCCTCTGTTACTAGGGAACAAACAGCTTCTTCCAAATCACTTTCTGACCCTGGACTTGCATTTACTTATCTGTGAACTGAGGGCTATAGAGATGGTCTCCAGGGTCCTTCCCTTTAGACTCGAATTTCCCTTTTGTGTACCCCACAGGGAGGAAGTAGAACTTTAGCAGCCCCCTGGACACTGTCAAAATTGGAGACACTAAGGGTCCACAGATTCTCCCTCTACCCACTTCCTGAGAGCAGCCATGGCCCTGACCGACCTCGATGTGCAGAAACAGATCAAACACATGATGGCTTTTATCGAGCAAGAAGCCAATGAGAAGGCAGAGGAGATCGACGCCAAGGCAGAGGAAGAGTTCAACATCGAGAAAGGCCGCCTGGTGCAGACCCAGCGGCTGAAGATCATGGATTACTACGAGAAGAAGGAGAAGCAGATCGAGCAGCAGAAAAAAATCCAGCTGTCCACCATGAGAAATCAGGCACGGCTCACGGTCCTGAGAGCCCGAGACAATCTCATCTTGGAACTGCTCAAGGAAGCGAAGGTAAGGCTCAGTAAAATTGTGTTGGATCTAGATATTTATCAGGAGCTGCTGGATAAACTCGTGCTCCAAGCCTTGATCCGGCTGCTGGAGCCTGTGATGATCGTCCGATGCAGGCAACAGGACCTCCACCTGGTGGAGGCTGCGGTGCAAAGAGCCATCCCTCACTACATGATCCTCTGCCAGAAGCATTCAGAAGTCCAGGTTGACCGAGAGGCATACTTGTCTTCGAATGCCGCTGGAGGGGTGGAGGTCTATAGTAACGATCAGAGAATAAAGGTTTCCAATACCCTGGAAAGTCGACTGAATCTCGCAGCCCTGGAAAAGATGCCAGAGATACGAAAGACTTTGTTTGGGGTCAATGCCAACAGAAAGTTCTTTACATAGGCGCTGGAAAGGGAAGCTTGTGTTGAACTGCAAAGTCTTTAAAAAAAAAGTCTTGAGTCATTGGGACAAAGGGAACGGGGCGGGGGAGGGGGGAACGAGTCTTACTCTTTGGAAGCTCTGGTGTTGGTTCCTAGCTTTGAGTAGCTACAAGAATTACACATGGATAACTTTGGAATAAAGCCCAAATGATGCCCAGAAATCAAACTCTAGTTCATCCGTGTTTATGACCGTTGCTGGGGCATTTTCAAGTCTGGGATGAAGGAAGTGAAGATGGTTTCACCTTAGGGTGAGATCTGAATTGCACCGTTGACCTGTGAGCCCCAGGCTCTAAGCATATTCAAAAATGAAGTGTCTGGTACAGCTTCCCCCCCCTCCCCCGGGCTCATAGTCAGAAAAGCCTTGGGCAATCAGAAACTAAACCTCCGGTTTCATGTCCCTGTAGCCACTGCCTTGACATTCTTGATGGTATCTTTGGAGACTCGTAGAAGCTGCAGTGGGACATTGGGGTGTGTACCATGGGTTTGGATTCTTGGCTTATTCATGCTACTGATTGATTCCAGAAGCGCAGCTGTATTCCTGAAGTTCCTCTTGGCCTGTCTCTCCCATTTCCCTTCTGCTCCGAGGCCCAGCCTTCTGCTACCAGCTAACATCACCACCTCTCTGCCCCGTATGCATGCTGTGTCAGAGTGGGGTATAGAAGCCCTGTGGGTTCAGGGTCAAGCACAATGATAGACATCTGTTGTCACAGCTCAGACACAGTGTGTTGTTCTTGAGGCTGATGGGAAAGAGAGGCCAGCAGCTGTCAAACTTTCTGGGCCCAAGTATAATGGCAGGCCAAGGCAAGGGTATGCCTGTGGCCTGCAGGAGTTGTCCCTCAGATAGTTGAATGCCTATGGGTATTTGGGGCTGTCTCTCCCAGATAGCTTGAAGTAATTTCTGGGCGAAGGCAAAAAAAAAAAAAAAAAAAAAAAAAAAAAAAAAAAAAAAAAAA